TCTCTCTCTCTCTCTCTCTCTCTCTCTCTCTCTCTCTCTCTCTCTCTCTCTCCCCCCCGCTCGCTCTCTCTGTTTCTCTTGCCCTCTCTCTTTCTCTCTTTCATCGAGGCCTTGCAAAAGTTTTTTTTTTTTTTTTTTGCAATCTTAGTTTCAATGCGCCATAATGGCATGCATGATCCATACATGGAATAACGCAAGGTCCTAGGCCCACGGCCTTCTCTGCCCCTAGGGCTACCCTAGTCTACTAGGCCATTTGCCTTGTCCTAAGGCCGGCCACCAGCCATGCACCCCCGGTGCAGCCCAATATGCTTCTTGCATATTGGCGAAGGGCACCGCCCTTACCCCCGCTCACACCACCGGTGAGGGGCCTTGTGCTCCACGCCCGCCCATGGGGCACGCGTTAGCCATGTGACCTGGCTGGCCACAGCGGAAGCACACGCCCTTGAAGCGTGGCTGCTGGCACGTAAGAGGGGGGGAGCCTTTGAGGTCCATTTCTCCGTCACGACCGCCGGGACGACCACCACGGGGGTAGATGGCGCGTGTGCGCTTGAGTGCAGCCACGGCGGCGACCGCCAGCTTGTAGGAACGGGACGTCAGCACACTCTTGGACTGGTAGAGCTGGAAGCGATCAGCGGCCTCAAAGTGGGCCTCATCCGCCACGAGAAGCACCTCGAAACGCTTATTAATAAGCGTCTCGATGTGTTTCACGTTGTTGAGTGCGCCAGTGACGTTGCCGTGCTGCAGCTCGAAGTCGATGTGCTGCAGGTGCGCTTGGATAGCAGTGAAGACTTCGGCCTGGTCGCGCACGCCCTTACGCAAGAAGGTAGTTGCTGCGGGCGTGGGACCAAGGGGGGGAAGAGGGGGGGAGGGGGCGAGAATGCGATGGCGAGCAATATTGGCACGAGCCTCACCATCATCGTTTTCAGAGTCGTCGCTGTCGTCGGTGCCATTGGCGAGTGCGGGAGTCGGTGCCGGGGGCTGGTTGTCGACGCGCAGAGCTTTCGGCGCGCGAGTAGGTGGCGGCATTTCTTTCTTCTTGGCGAAATTGGTCGTAGCAGTTATATTGTCCGAAGATGTTCCGAGCGTAACATTCGGCTGCTGGTGTAACAGCGCCAAAAGCGCCTGGAGTTGTTGTGCGGTCAACGCGGGGGCGGCGGCGGCTGGCACGACCTCGGCAAAGGGCGTGTGCTCGGTGGGGCCCGCGTGGCCTGCAGCCGTCGCGACGTGCGCAAGCGCGTGGTCCTCCGTTGGCAGCTCGCGCGGCTGCGTTTGGAGCAGCGCGATTGGCGCCAAGCAGGACCTCCACAGCCGAGGGCCCCTCGCCAAAAATTTCCTCAGCAGGACGTTTCTGGCGACGGGCGGTTGCCCCGGCCGAAGTTCCGGGATCCACAGAATTGTTGGGGTTGTTCGTCGGACGATTCGGAGTCGTGTTCGCCGACGCCATGTTAGCAAGGTTGTGCTGCAAAATGTCGGTGAGGAGCGTCGTCGGAGCCTTGCCTCGGGGGAGGGACTGGGTCTTTGCCAGGTTGGACGAGAAACTGGGGAAATTGAACTAGAGAAACTAGAAATGAAGAACGTGGGTGAGGCCGAATGGCGTGAGTAGCGCTTCATCGCTGCATTTGCTGCGTTGGCCCTCGCTACACTCTCACAATACACATTTTTAGAAAGTGTTACACACTTTCAAAAAATTACATTTTTAGCATGTGTTGTACATTGTTGTGTATTGTGCGTGCGTGCATGAGAGCGATGCTAACTATGCCTCGTGCATCATACAATTTGCGATTGTCGTTGCCGGTTTGGGAGTTTCTTCCCATAACGTGCATGTCAATCTCTATTGTGGCACGAACGCATTGATGCATTTGTTTTACTGCATTCGCGATCGTTTTGTTGTATTGCATTCTTATTGTGCCGAGCTGTTGCATGTATGTATGTGTGTTTATCAGTTGTCTTGTACATGCTTTGAATATGGTGGTAATGTTGTTGTGGTTCCTATCATTCTCCGCCGTGATTATCGACGGCGAATGATTCGAGCCTCTCTCATCATTCTTAGAAAGTTAAAGCCCGTGGCTATAATAGCAATCAAGAGGGCTGTTTAATTTGCTCTTGAACTTGGCACGACTTGATCTTTAGAGTAAACGGAAAAAAAAAAAAAAAAAAAAAAAAAAAAAAAACATTTCGTTTTGCAAAGCGGAATCTGACCGTGGCGGTTTGGCGACAGTTTTTGCACGAAACCATTCGGTGAACAGTGCAATCCGCGTCGTGCGACCGAATTCGTGGTTCCGTGAACAGTGAAAATGCGAGAAGAACAGTGTATTTTTGGCGAACAGTAGCTGATTCTGGAATTGCATCTCAGAAACTTAGGAGGCTAGGTCCCTAAGGTTAGGACACTAGCTTAGCTAGGATACTAGGAAGGCCGCCATGGAATGCCGTGAGGAAAGTAGATCTAGGAGCGTGAGGAGAAAAGTTGACGAGAAAGAAGGTATGGGATTAGGAAGAGAGAGCAGTACAAGGAGGGGATTGTACCCTATACAGAAAGGTTCAGTAACAACTTACCAAGCCTATATTAAATTATAACTTATATAATTTTAACACACCCCCTAGGCTTGGTAGGGTCATGCCCACGCACACACCCACACCCACACCCACACCCACACCCCCTAGCCCAGCACCCCCATTCCCAGCAACGACTCCGGAAGAGGGCAGCTCCCACGGCCCGTGAGATGGCAATGGCGACAGCGGCGACAGTGACGACAGCGGCGGCGGCAGCGACGACAGCGGCGGCGGCAGCGGCGTGCGGCGGAACCAGGCCCGCGGCAACAGCGGCGTCGGCGGCTTGCGGCGGCACCAGGCCCGCGGCAACAGCGGCGGCGGCGGCGGCTTGAACGTCAGAGGCCGGTGCAGCGGCCCCCGCCCTCTCGGCGGCATGTCCAGTCTCCTCCGCGGTGGAGAGGGCCCTCATGAGGCAGTCGTCGGCTGCAGCAAGGAAGGGGGGAATGCAGGGGAAGGAGGGGGAGGTGGGGGGGGGGGGGGCGAGGCGAGTCTTCAGCGACGCGCCATAAGTGGCGCGGCGCTTACTGGCAGGAGGGCGGGCAGGTGGCGGTTACGACGGCGTGCTGCCCGCTGCCGCCCATCGACGCTGCCGCGGCAGCATGACGACGCCGCCAGAGCGCGGCGTCGACGCTGTGGCGGCACGCCGACGCTGCAACGGCAGCAAGGTGACGCTGCCACGGCAAAGCGTCGACGCCACCACGGCAGGGCGTCGAGGAGGCGACGGCCGCACTACGAAGCCGCCATGACAGGCCGGCATGGCCGCCACGGCGGGAAGGCAGTGACGAGAGAAATGCGCGGCGGAAGCGACGGCACGACAGCGCGACGCCACAGCAGCGCGTCGAGACGGCCGCGGCACGACGCGGCCTGCGGCACGACACGAGCGCCATGGCAGCGCGAGAAGCGTGAGTAGGCGGTCCAGCAGGAGGACCTTCTGCTCTGATACCATCTCAAAAACTTAGGAGGCTAGGTCCCTAAAGTTAGGACACTAGCTTAGCTAGGATACTAGGAAGGCCGCCATGGAATGCCGTGAGGAAAGTAGATCTAGGAGCGTGAGGAGAAAAGTTGACGAGAAAGAAGGTATGGGATTAGGAAGAGAGAGCAGTACAAGGAGGGGATTGTACCCTATACAGAAAGGTTCAGTAACAACTTACCAAGCCTATATTAAATTATAACTTATATAATTTTAACATTGCAGACCTGGAAATCACTTGAATTCCCCAGTCATAAAGTGTCTGTATTCCACGTCGCAAGCTGCTCGCCCAAACCCGTCGTAGAAATCCGTGCAATGCACACAGTGTTTTTGCGCAATTCGCATCCAAATGATCGTGTCGCAACAAACAGCAAAACGAGTTCTTTCGCCATTCCTCCAATCAGCAAGCTCGACCAGAATTTGTTTCGAAGCACTTTTCTTGTTCAGGCTTGAACTCAAAGCTGCCTTCCATTCAATACTTGTTCAGACGGATTTCAAAGCACCAAATTCAATTGGTTTCCAGGTCTGCTATTTTAGCTGCGGGCTTTAAGAAGACCAATACAAAACTCCATGTTGCTCAAAAATTATGTTTTCGTCATTATCGACTACATGATAATTGGGAAACACATATTTTTGTGATGCGAGATAAAAGGAATCAACAACAAACGAACATTAAGTAGATACTCTCTATCGGAGAACACAACATTCAGATTCTAGATAACCGATTTTGATCCAGAAAAGTATGTAGCGCGGATTATTAGGCTGACTAACAAAACGCCTGTAAGGGTTACTGTTAACCTAGAAACCCTTGCTGTTTTGATTGTTGTCAATCCTCTAAACACGCTCTTTGCGCTCTCCGTCAATGTAGGTTTCATTTGGACCGTGGATTGCGCACCTGGCCCGAGGTTTGCGCACCTGGGCGCGCAAACCCCACAACCAGAGAGTGGGCGCCAGCAGACCAAGAAGCTGGCAGTCGAGTCGCCCCGACAGGAGCGTCTGCACGAACTACAATCTGGAAACGTCTCTAATGCATCTCAACCGTCCATTTAATCACCGTCTATAATATGCAAGATCTGTACCGTTCATTAAAGGACGGTGGATTCACCTGGCTGCCCACCTGCAGCCACAGCTTGGTTGGCAATGCCCCAGTGCTCCACCACTTCCCGCGAATCGCCGACTCCCCGCCCCACGTCTATCGCCGACCAACCAGCGGGCGGCAATTGTCCTCCCCTTGTCGAAGAAAACGTGCATCCGCTGCATGTAGCGCGACGGACCCCAACCACCCACCTTGCTCGCAACCAAGCCCCACCGAACCTAACGGAATCAAAGCGCACCCAAAATAACCCAACGTTACCGAAACAAACGTAACCGAAGGCGGCTTCTCTGCTCCAGCCTTCACGAATCACGATTCACGGCACTCCTTGCTTCCTCGGTGCTGGTGCTCCCGTTGATGTAAAATTCCCCTACAACACCCCTCAGTTGTATTTCCAGCCTAAACGGAACTCGTAGCTCACTGCTCGCATCGAAGTCATCGACTTACCACACACTTTGCATCATTGCTTCTTGGCACAGGCCTATCGGTGCTTCCCTTGTCAGCAACAATTTCGTGTCATTCATCTTCTTTCCTCTCGCATCGACTCCCCGCGCTCCTCACCTTGACTTCCGGGCACACATCAAGATGGCGGCCCGACCTCTTTGTGTTCTATTGCTACTAGCGGCGGTCGCGCTGGTCTCGCTCCCTTCGGCAGATGCGGCGTACGATGCGAAGAAAGGCTTGGCAGCGATTAAAACTGCCCTGAAGCAGAAGAACTACAACTCGTACATCACGCTCATGGAATCAAGCAGTAAGTGTGGCCTCTCGAGAGTAGGTTCCCGGCTCGCTACATTCGTTGTAGTACATTCGTTTTAGTACTCAGCTCGCTCTGCGTAGCGCAGCCATGACAGCCTACTCCCGTCCGTTCCTAGTCAACGAGCTTCGCTACATTCGTGAGTGGTGTGCGGCGCGCCCATCCTGCTATGTCGCGTTGCGTTCTGTTTATGGAGCGAGGTCGGATGTGCGAGCACGGGATGAACGCGCTCTCGCGCGAAGCGCGGGCGCGGGATGTAGGTCTTCGTGAGCCGTCGTTCACGGACACACGCATACGCACACGCACTAGCGAATGGTTTTTCGATCATCTCGTTGGCGAGCGTAACTCACGTCTCTCTGAACGTCCTTTGAGAAGAAACACCTTAAACCTCGTATTCTCTTGAACCTTTACTGAGGGATGCTAATTAAGGACAATTGTAGCGTCGTGTCCTCTGCGAGCAATTTCTCAGGCCTCCGTCAGTCTGCCGAACGCCAGGTGCACCCTGCCGATTACTTAAGACAGTTCAAAAGTAAGCACGTCGAACGCCAGGGCCCGTCGATTAGGTCTTGTCGACAACGACATCATCCTCTTCACCCGCCGTTCGCTTCCGCCTCCCCTCCCCCATCTCCCCCCCCTCCCTCCCACCTCCCGCTCCCCTTCTCTACGCAACAACGACACAGTTCAAGTACCCGGTGCGTTTGTCAGCTCTGCGATCAAGCTTGTCCGCTCAGCGCGATCTGCGGAATTCCTCTCACGCTTGTCCGTCCAGTCTCCCTCCTCTATCCTGCAGAGTTCGACGACACGCTCTTGACGGTTCTGCCCCCAAGTAGTGCATGGTGACGCTGCTGGTGGGGCAGGACAAGTCCTTTCAGTCATCCCTCACGATCTATCCTAGCCACGCAATCCCCTTCTGCCTTTCCGCCCGTCCTTCCCGGTCCGTCGGGCCTCACCTGCTGCATAGTTCAACGATACGCTCCTGACGATTCTGTCCAAGTACCAGGCGACCCTGCTGGTGGGACAGGGCAAGACCCTTCAGTGCCTCATGTCCCTCACCCGCTTCTCCCGCCCGTCCGCCTCTCCCCCCTTCCGCCCGCAGAGTTCAATGACACGCTGCTGACGATTCTGCCCAAGTACCAGGTGACGCTGCTGGTGGGGCAGACCAAGGCGTTTGCGAAGCTCAAGAACTGGGAGTCGATCAAGAAGACCGCGCGCACCGGCTTCCAGATCGCCGCCTTCAACATGCTCGGCAGCCTCCACACGAAGAAAGCCATGGCGGGTTACCCTATGGGCAAAACGGTACGTGCTCGGGGAAATTTTTACTTCTGCTGCGCGTTCTCGGTTCTGTTTCTTGGTTTTGCCGGGCTCTCGTTGGTGACCAGCTCCCTCGCTCAGAATTCACGCGAGCGAGTGCGGTAACTAATTTCGCGACCGTCGTGTGTTTATTCTGTGGTATTACAGTTCAGCACTGGGGACTACACCTACCTGCAAACAAAGCTCAAGTCCAAGAAGGGTTTTGCGTTGGGGACCACTGCAAGCAACGGGTCCATCGTTGAGTGGACTGTCTATATGGACGCTCAGGTGATTGTGCATGGTGTAGACACAGTCATCATGCCGCCAAAGTTTAAGTGAAGTGCCTCCGGAGTACACCATGATATATTGTGCATTAGGTCTCAAAGGCTCTATTTAGAAGTCAGTATTCTTTATTTACATCAATTGGTAGCGCCAAACTTATTTACTGATACTATTGCCATATCAAAAGCCACCATGAACCTCTTGTTAGCAGCTTGGCAGGGACAGTGGCAAGACATGGTACCTGTGTGCTTAGTTGTGGGGGCTAGCATTTTGTCTACCATGGCCACGCTCTGTCTTGATGATTGTATACGCTTCGTGATTTTAAATTCATGCCACAACCACCGCAGCAGCATCTGCACACACCTCCAGCAATGCGAGTGTGGTTATAAGTACAACAACCAAATCCCTTCTACTAAAAGGCGATTGTGTGCAAGTCCTTGCAGCTACGGAGTGAATTCGGGAATCATGACATTGTTGACCCCGTGAATCGCCACGTGGACGTCTTGGTAAACATTGTTCACCTTGACGTACGCGCCAACCTGCGTGCCCGGCTTGCCAAACTGGGCAAGCTTCGTGGGGAAACGCATCACCTTGAAACTGTCGTGTCCAGTCGCCAGCTGCATCATGGAAGAGGGGAAGCAGGGAGATAAAATCGAAGGTCATTACAGTTGTGACATTATTCCAACAAATACTAACGAGGTGGAGAACGAGGGAGAGGACATTTTGGGCCGCTCGTGTCAGGTCCCTAGCTGCAGCGAGCGGAGCAGAGAGAAATGAAAGTCTTGAGAGAACTCACTGACGGAATCTAGCTTTGGGAGAGAACCCAATTCATACTCACCAGAGTGTTGAATGGAATCTTCGCGAGCTGCTTGTACATGTAACGGCCGGCGATCATGTGATATGCGAACACTTGCCACATCTTCTTGGTGTCCTTGCGGATCAGGTTGTGTGTGGCCGCGCTGAGCTTGTTCCACCCCACGTTCATCGGCAGCAGCAGAGTCGTCGTCGCTGTAGGCAGCTTCCCTGCAAGAGTGTCGTTGAAGCCTGCACAAAATAGATAAAATCAAAACAAAAAATACTCGTAACCAGGGTTAGGGCTGGAGCGTATCACGATTATAAAAGGATTGCGCGGGCTGGTAATGAGCAGGAGCACGGAGCGGTCAATAGTAATGGCGGTACTTCTTCCGGAAAACGTGCTCCTGGACGAAGACGACGTAACCAGTACTGCAGCACGTACCACACTCCCTCATATACGTGATCGTGGTCGTCATTTTATTCCTCCTAAGAGCAGCCTCGATTCGTTTTAAGGCGTCGGCCCCGGAATACTGCGCGCGCGCCGCGACGAGAGCGCTGAGCAGCAGCACCGCCGCGAGGAGGAGAGGACCGTGGAGCCTTCGCATCGCCATTCTGTGCGCCGGATACTTTAGCGTGAAGTAGACGCTAGTGTGATGCCGGATGCTACTACTACGACACGTCGGAGGTGTAAAGTATGACGTAATGCTCTCACAGATGGACAGTGCTGCGATGAGTGCTTCGGAGGTTGGCGACGGCAAGAGAAAGCGAAATGAGTCCGTGGTTAGTAGTGGCTTTCATGCGGTAAAATAAGTGACCAGCAGACTCTAGGACCAGCGGCGTCAGCTTCAACTCTAGGAGTTCCGAGCTAAGTTTCAAGTGGACCGACTTTTTTTTAAGCTTCTATCTTCGAGAGTCGTAGTCGCAACAAAAGGTGGTGGTACAGTGTGGCGGATGGTGGGCGCCGCAAGTTGTGATGGTGGAGCAAGTTGAGCAGCAGTGGTAGTATGATGGACTGCTAGGAGTTGGTGGTGTGATGTCTGGAAATACACCGACCCGCACCTTATTGGAATCTGTATTATCATAAAGAAACCCATTTGCCAACCCGACGTTAGCCTGTCCCCACAATGTTGACCGCACTTCAGCCTCCAGAACAACACGAGCGAGTGGGCTTTGCATGAAGACAGCCTCACTCCCCATGTATCCAGCAAATGTCGGGCATGCTGGAGATTCCGAGCCGCGAGAAGTGGCGCCACTGGGATGTGGACGAAAATTCCTGTAGGTTCACTGTGGTGGTTCTAGCTTTTTGAAATTGAGGAGACGTTTTCAGCTCGATTCCTTGACATGCGCATGCCGACAGGTGTCTAAGGACACACCATTTTGCATCAGCTCCACGTCATTGTCGGCAAACGAGTCCCAAATCCACGAGACGCGTACCCGTTGATGTCAGCGATGTCAGCTTTTTGTTGTGGAGGCTGATTTGACGTCCTCATTATGGTAGCTGCTGATGTCTTCCCTTTCTAAAAAAGTGAGTAAATCTGGGAAACAAGGGAAAGTACATCGGCGCTCAGTATTAGGGGCCTCGATAATATGTCCGGTCAGTGACGCAATATAAACAATCAGAATTAGCGAGTTCGCAACATGTTTCATCAGTCAGGTTCCACGGTTAGTCAGAAACTGTAGGAAAAAAGTTCCACGAATGGTCAGTAGAAGTAACCCCCGCCCGTCTAGGAACGTTTTCCCGCTCGCGCCAGCCCAATTTCGTCATCATTGTGGCAGGCGCGAAATTTCTTCCCAGCTCCAAGCGCAGTTCGAGAGAAAAAACGTAATGTACCCAAATGTAATTTTATTGGACACAAGTTTTTCGAGAAACAAGAAAATACGATTTTGTTTCGAAACACATACTTTCGTGGTAGATTGTAGTGCGTTTCGAGCTTAAGAATGGCAGTTTTGTCTCTACCGCATTTACGCCGCCCCCCCCCAAAAGTCAAGCCTTAAACTTATCGTCATTCCCGAATCGCTTGAAAAAAAACATATAAAGAAAACTACGGAAATTTATTTTGGGAAATGAATATGTTTCAAAGTGCAGCAAAGTACACTCATAGCCGCACAAAATTTTGTATTAACTTAAGTACAACAAATCTTTAAGATTTCTGCCGGCTGTGGTTATAAAATTTCTCACAAATGAATTTACTGCAAAAACATTCCCGCTAATTCACGACTCTACAAGTCACGTCATGCTCGAAATTGTGACACGACCTCAGAGGAGTGTGCAGTGCAGTCGTCATAGGTAATGTAAAGCTCGATCTTGTAGCATGCGAGAAGCGGCCACTAGCTCGCGGTCAAGCTGAGTAATGTAAAGCTCCTTGACTGCATCACTTCGCCAACGGCCGAGGGCCTTGAAAAGCCGGTCGGGGACTCCAACATCAACGGCGACCGTCGCAGCTGCCTTGCGGAAAGAATGGGTGCCCAGGAGGGCTGGGTTGAGGCCGACATGGGAGAAAGCATCTCGACACCAACCCCGAATGGCGGCGTACGAGGGAGGGCGATCTGAGGGGGAAGCTCGGGCACCTGGCTGAAATATACGAATAAGGGGGCCAAGGGTCTGCGGAGAATAGCCAGCCAGGAAGAGGAACTGTTGGACACGCGACACCGGACAGTGGCGGGCAGAAGAAGCAGCCACTGGGACCCAAACACCGGTGCCCGCTTGGTCGGTCTTCGAACGGGGGATGAACAACCACATGCAGTCCCGATCGAACTCGATCTGGTGCCACTGGAGGGAGATGAGATCAGAGAAACGAAGGAAGGCTGCGAACATGAGGAGGGGAATAAGGCCCCGTTGGAATGTGGCCGGATCATGCGAGGAGAAGTAGAGGTCACAGATATCGTAAATCTTGGCTGGAGGAATGGGCTCTTTCACTTGAGATGGCTTGCCACAATGACGCATGGCATAATCCTTGACTTGCGAAGAAAAGGGGCCGCGAATCGGGGAGGGGTGGCCGACCAGCCAATGGGCGCAGGATATGGCGGAACACGCAGTGCGCACAGCTGAGACGGTAGCGCCGCGACAGACCGAGTGCAGCAGAAAGAGGGCCGATGTCAGGTCGGTGGCGGGAAGGAAGGGAAGTGAGTGCGCCAAACAGAAGGCTCGAAACTGTCGCCAATAGGGTTCATAAGTGCGAAGGGTAGACTTTGCCCGAAGATCGACGGTGAGTGTGAGAAGGTCCGACAATAATCGACCAATATATGAGCCTGCGCAGTGAAATAAAATGCTACATTAGTTGAATGCAAAACGAAGCGCATACATTGGAGAGTTCGGAAGACCGGCACCGCTAAAGGCATAAAGGTCACTGCCAACACGTAAACAACTAGCACCCAGGGTAAGGCGAAGGGCCATAACGACCTCCGGGTCCCAAGTGAAGCCGTCCAGGCTTAGCAAAGGCCACCAAAAAGCACTGGGCCAATATGGGATCACGAGAGTGAGAGAAGTGCGCGAGCGACGGGCATGAGTTAGGACAGCCGGGATGAGGGCGGGTGGAGGAAAGGCGAAGCAATTCTCGTGTCCCCAGTTAATAGAAAAGGCATCTTGCGCAACCGCCGAGTGTGAGAACTCGAGGGAGCAGAAACGAGCGAGCTGCGCATTGGCAGGGGATGCAAACAAGTCGATGGTATGAGGCCCCCAATGCCTCTCCAGCAGCAGAAACCAAGGACGTGTCAAGGAGTAGTCATCGTGGAGCTCAATCTTGGACAGAGCATCGGCCTCGGTATTCAGCGCACGGGGAATCCATTGGACCGTGAGACGGATCATATGGCGCACGCACAATTGAATAATCGCGCGGCATACGAAGGTAAGCTCGGGACGGCGAGAGCCTCTCTTCTGGAGGATGTAGTAGGCCGCCTGACTGTCGCTGCGGAGCAAGATGTGCAAACGCCAGATTTCGACAGAAAAGGCCGAAAGGGACCAAAAGATTCCGGCCAGCTCGCGATGGGTACTGGATGAGCCCAAGAAGGCTAGAGGCAGCGGGGAGGAGAGCGAGCCGACACGACCATCCGGCGCGGAATAACAAGCCCCCCAGGCATGGTCGCTAGCATCCACGTACATGACAACGTCGTACAAATGCGGGTTGTGGAAGCGGGCGCCGTTGAAAATGTCGAACTGTGTGAGCCAAAAACGCAGCTCTTCAACAGACTCAGGGGTTAGGAGAATGGCCGCCCCCCATGAGTGGCATTCGGCGATCTGAGCGAGAAGGTGGTGGGAGAAGGCGCGCGCGACGGTGCCAAGTGCCAAGGACATGGAGGCCAACATGCCGGTGATGCGGGCAACGCGGCGAACAGGGATGCGACGCCCGTTAGCGGCGAGTGTGCCTAATTCATCCAGCTCGGCAAACAGCCGATCGCGCCGATCCGCATCGACAGAGAATGTGGTGGTGCGCGTGTCCAGCAAGAGGCCCAAGAACTTCAAAGATTGTGCCGGCGCGAGTTGTGATTTTTTTAAATTCACTACGAAGCCCGCGGCTGCAAGGTCGGCGATGATTATGGAGCGGTTGTGAAGGGCCTCCGCTCGAGTGGCACTGATGAATAGGATATCATCGACGTATGGAATAAGACGGATGCCGCGGCGACGCCAGCGTTTAGAGAGTTGCTTAATTAACTGGGTAAACACAAATGGCGCTGTAGCCAGCCCGAAAGGCAAGGAGAGGAATTGGTAGTCCTGCCCTTGCAGGGAGAATCCGAGAAACCGCCAAAAGGCGGGGTGAATGTCGACGTGGTGGTACCCAGATTTGAGATCGATGGTGAATAGCCAATCGCCTTCTTGCACCAAATCAGGAACGCGAGTAAGTCCTTCGTATCGAAAACGAGGCACCGAGAGGAATGAGTTGACATGCCGCAAGTCCAATATCAGCCTCTTTTTAGAGGGTTGGACAATCACGTTTAATGGGCTAACGCATGTAAGGGTTGCGGAAGGAGGTACGACCCGAGCTGCGCCGGTGGCGAGAAGCTCGGCCACTGCACCTACAGCGAAAGATGTGAATTGCAAGGCACCGGCATGATTCTTAGTACGAGACGGGGGGGGCTCAGAGGCAACCCATGGTAGGCGATATCCAGATGTAATCACCGATAGAATCAAGCGGTTGTCGCACCAGGCGGACCACCATGCAGCGCGGTCACGGAGGCGGCCTTGCATGCGGGTAATCTTGGTTGCGTCATCGGCATAGGCCGAAATGGTTCCGAGCTCTGGTGGGAGAGGGAACACAAATAGGGACGGTAGAGAGTCAGGAAGGTGCTTCACCTCATTTAGTTCCGACCTCAACAAGGGAGTTTTTTTTTTTTTTTTTTTTTTTTTTTTTTTGGTCGGGAAGGAAGGCAAACGCTAATTATAGGTGCCCACTTGCTCGCTATTTTCTTCGGCCACGTCATCCCTTAAGTAATAAACCATTGGATTGGGCATGTCAACTTGGCATACTGGGCTGTAGTTGGTGGTCATATATGGTGATGACATAGAAATCTTGTCATGAGTCTTATCAACGGCAGTCTTTAGAGGACACACACACATTGTGTAAGCATCTTGTTGGCACGTTCATGTCTTCTTGCACAGGCCCAACGGGCGAGACCATGTGGTCGTATGACGCGTGTATTAATCTTACTTGAGTGCAAGAATCTGTGTGTATGTTGTTGTTTTTTTTTGTTTTTTTTTTTTATTAAGAACGCTACAACATCGGAGAGGTTAAGCAAGCTTTACACAATCTTAGCCGGCCGATTGGCCCCTTGGCCTCTTTGGGGGCAATTAGCCATCCCATGCCCGGGTTCACGACAATAGAAACAACGGCCGTCGCCGTCCCTACGCCATGTGTTCCAAAGGCGCTCCCCTTGGCCTCGAGGGCGAAGAGGGGGTTCAGGACGGGATGTGGAATGGGTGGGCCGAGTGGGCCTCTTCTTGCTAGCCGCTACAGTCTGAGAAGCAGCCTTGACATTCTTATC